GAACTGATCTTTAGAGGGTGGTTGTCAAACATCTCTAGGAAAAGATGGGATTGTGGAAGAGGAGCTGATGACCGTGGCTGAGTGAAGTAGAGTTCCCTCCTTCTGTGCCTACTTGGGAAGGGAAGGGAAGGCCAATTGGCCCTTGGTTTATATGACTTGATTCTGAATTTCTCTTGTGAGCAGGTTGTACTCGGAAAACAAGGATCATTGATGTTGTCTACAATGCATCCAATAATGAGCTAGTCCGCACCAAGACCCTGGTGAAGAACTGCATTGTGCTCATTGATAGCACACCATACCGACAGTGGTACGAATCCCACTATGCATTGCCCCTGGGCCGCAAGAAGGGGGCCAAGCTGGTACGTGCTACTCCCTGTGTGGGTTAGGGGGAGGGCTGCCTGACTTGAGCCTTCTTGTGATGAAAACTCTGTCCAGTTCTGCTGCTGAAGGGAGAGAGATGAATGCCTTTAATGCTGAGGAGGGCAGGTATTGGGCTGAAGAAGGTTCTGATGACTTCCCTGAACTAATCCATATGTGTCCTTTTTATTCAGACTCCTGAGGAGGAAGAGATATTAAACAAAAAGCGGTCTAAGAAAATTCAAAAGAAGTATGATGAAAGAAAGAAGAATGCTAAGATCAGCACTCTTCTGGAGGAGCAGTTCCAGCAGGGCAAGCTTCTTGGTGAGATGGCTGTTGTATTGGGGAAATGGGAGTCACAAAGATGCAGTGTGCCCTCCGTTGATTGACTGCAGGCATGTTTATTTAAAAGGTTCATCAGGGGAGTTTAATGATAATTGGACCTTGGTGTGAAGGTAAAGTGTAAAATTGTGGGTAGGAAGGGTATATCCACATATCCTTGAAGCTTGGCTTCTAGTTTCAAGAGTATTTTTGGGAAGCCCAGGCATTGAGGGGGCTGTCTCAGTGATGAAAACTTTGTCCAGTTCTGCTACTGACTTGAAGTGATGATAAAGTGTATCTGAGGAGACAGTGGGCTTCATGCCTGCCCCCAGGATTCCAGACAACGTGGATCTTTTCAGAGGATATATGTAGGTGGGTGGGGCTTCTTCTCACTCACTAAGGGCCACATAATCTCTTACAGCTTGCATTGCATCAAGACCAGGACAGTGTGGCCGAGCAGATGGCTATGTTCTAGAAGGCAAGGAGTTGGAGTTCTATCTGAGGAAAATCAAAGCCCGGAAGGGCAAATAAGTCCTCCTCCCTTCTATCTTAGCTCATGTAATAAAGGTGTTTATTGTTCTATGTCCTATGTTCATGTTGTCTGAAATTTGGCTTTTTTCCTGTTGATAATGTGGAGCCCCTCATCTTACCTTCTTCTATCCTGACCCAGGTTCATCTCACTGTGGAGTTCCCGTTGGCCTCATATCTCCCTGAAGGCCCAGCCTATTGAGTTGTGTGGACTGTACATTTCTATAGTAGGGCCATTGTTTCTTACTGGGTCTCAGTGGACATAGAGATATCATGTGCAGGCCCAATGGAAGCTGTATTATTGGGGAATTTTAAAGATACTGTACCCTTTCCTGTTTGGACCTGTGTTGTAAGGGTTTGATTAAGATCATGCTGAGGATCATAGTCAGGCCCTTATGCATGCTGAGCTTACTTACAGCCAGGTTTACAACTTGGGTAAATGGATGATCTAGAAACCTTAAAGTTGTATTCATAGAGTTTTCTGTGTTTCTGAGAGCAGATTATATAAGAATAGGTTAGTGGGCTGGGGTTGTGGCTCAGTGGTAGAGCACTTGCCTAACGTGTGAGGCACTGGGTTCAATTCTAACTGTAATCCCTTACCCCCTTTGCAAAATTTTAAGATTTTGATTCCATATAATTTTTTCATTGCTGGAGATTTATTATTTCTTACTCCTCAGCCTGCCATGTTAGCATTTTGCTCAGCATGGTGGAGCATTCCTGGAACCCCAGCTACTCAGAACGCTAAGGCAGGATCATAAGTTGAAGCCTTTTTTAATAAGTGTGTGTGTGTGTGTGTATATGTATGTATATATATATATTTTTTTTTAGTTGTAGTTGGACACAATACCTTTATTCTGTGCATTTATGTGGTGCTGAGGATCGAATTCAGGGCCCTGCACATGCTAGGCTAGCGCTCTACCGCTGAGCCACAATCCCATCCCCTGAAACCATTTATTTTGACAGAGGGTCTCACCAAGTTGCCCAACTGACTTCAAACCCTGTGATCCTCCTGCCTCTGCATCCCTTTGTGGAGATTATAGGCACCAGCTAAAGTACTTATTTTGGTTCTGGGATCTAACCCAGAGGTGTTTAGCCCCTGAGCTATATTCCCAACCCAGCTGCCCCTCTCTCCTTAAAATTAATTTATTTTTGGTACTGGGGAGTGAATCCAGGGGTGCTCAACCACTGAGCCACATCCCCAGCCCTTATATTTATTTACATGCCGTGCTGAGACTCAAACCCAGTGTCTTACACATGGCTAGGCAAGCGCTCTACCACTGAGCCACAAACCCAGGCCCCTTTTAATTTTTTGAGACAAGGTCTTGATAAGTTGGCTGAGGCTGGCCTTGAACTTGTGATTCTCCTGCTCAGCCTTCCAAGTCACTGGAATTCCAGGCATGCGTCACCACACCTGGCTAAAGTACATATTTTTTTCTTTAATATTTATTTTTTAGTTGTTGGATAAAATACCTTTATTTTTATGTGGTGCTGAGGATCAAACCCAGGGCCTCAAATGAGCTAAGCTCCGCTCTACCACTGAGCCACAACCTCAGTCCCCTAAAGTACCTATTTTAATATTTTAATACATAAAAAAGCCTAAAATCCAAAAAAGATGATTGGAAGGTGGATCAGGAGAAAAACCTCTTCTGGGTACAAAAACTGCTCTTAAGGACAAGACAAAAACCTAATAACTCTTTAAAACCTTACTGTTGGCTCTGGTGAAACAAGGCCCTGCTTTCTCACCTAATATTTCATCTTAATTCACTACCTTAATAACTAAAGTTTACTGAGTTATGTTTCAAGCATAGCAAAGCAACATTCAGCATTTCCTGCGCCTTTTTCCTTTTGCAGGGTAATGGAGATCTAACAGGTCCTCCCACACATTAGGCAAACACTCTCCTGATCTGTATTCCCAGACCTGCTTTGAGACTATCTAGCTAAAGTGCCCAGGCTGCCCTGGAATTTGGAATTCTGTCGGCCTCCCAAGTAGCCAGTATTCAACTTCCTCCTCCTCTCTTCTATCTATAATCCAACAAAAATATCACTATGTTCTTTGACGGGTCTTAAATGTACCTGCTCACCATCTATGTCATCTATAGATGATGATTGTCACCGTGGAGCAAGAATATCTCCCATGAAACCTGCAAAAACCTCAAATGCCTTCTGAACAAATAGCTATCATTGTGGTGTTCTTTATGTCTCCACATTATAGATTTGGAGAACATGCTTGTAATCTGAAGCCAAGGTGAGAGAATCATAAGTTGTAATGCCAGCCTCAGCAATTTAGAGAAACCTTGTCTTATAAAAAGGAAGAGAACTGGGCTTGTAAAGAGACTCTGGGTCCAACCTCAATGCCTAAAAATTTAAAAAATTGATTTGGAAACAGGTGTTCAGTATTGCAAGGCCTAGTGGCACACATCTATAGTTCTGACCACTAGGGAGGCTGAGACAGGAGGCTGGCAAGTTCAAGAGCAGCCTGGGCAAATTAGCAAGACATTGTCTCAAAAAAGGGTTGGGGATATAACTCAGTGGCAGAGCTCTCCAGGGTTCAATCTCTAGAGGCTCAAAAAAGAGAAATGCATTCAGTAATCATCTTCCCTTTTGTTTTGGTGGTGCTGGGGATTGAACCCCAGTACCTTGTGCATGTGAGGCAAGCACTCTACCAACTGAGCTATATTCCCAGCTTTCTGGTAGTAATTCTTCAGCCATAACAGTTTTGTTGTTCACTATATTTTTTTAAAGAGAATTTTTTTTTAATATTCTCGGTAGTGCACTCGCCTGGCATGCGGGGGGTGCTGGGTTCAATCCTCAGCACCACATACAAAAAGATGTTATGTCCGCCGAAAACTAAAAAATAAATATTAAAAAAATCCTCTCTAAGAGAGTGAGAGACTCTTAAAAAAAAAAAAAAGGTCTGGGGTGGGTGGGGTGGCATATGACTGTTTCAAATCAGTTTAATCAGTCTCCAGGGCATATTCCCAAACCCCTTTTTTTTTGGGGGGGGGTGCTGGGTATCAACCCCAGGGCCTTTGTGCATGCAATGCAAGGCAAGCACTCTACCACCTGAGCTATATCCTCAGCCCTCCCAAACTCATTTCATGAACTACATCTAATTTGCACATACCAATTCAATCTGCACAAGTAATTAATATATTCTCATTTTCAACAACAACTTTACAGTTAGAGCAAAGTTTTCTGGCACACATACTGACCACCCCTTCCCAATGAGTTAGGTTGTCAGGGTGAGGAAGTTATAATCTTTCCAAACATGCATGATTCACTGTCATCCCCAGACCAGCAGCACAGCATCATCTAAAAACTTGTTAGAAATGCCCTCCTTATTTTTTGGGGGGTGGGGGTGGGAGGAGGCTACTAGGGGATTAAACTCAGTGGGGCTTTACCATTGAGCTACATTACCAGCAGTTTATTTTTGAGACTGTATCACTAAGTTGTTATGACCTCCCTAAATCACTGAGGCTGGGTTTGAACTTGGGGTCCTCCTACCTCAGTCTCCCCAGGTGCTGAGATTACCGACTTGTGCCACTGCATCCAGCTAAAAATGTCACTTTTTGAGCCCCATATCAAATCCAATGCATCTAAAGAGGTAGGTGCGGTGCCTAACAGTCTCACAAGGCAGTGATGGTGATGCTTGACTTAAAGACCACTGACATAGGTCCATTGCCAGGCAAGGAGGAATCTAATCTTTGCACCTGGGCTGTAGTTCTCCACACTTGGCACTTCCCACCATCTTTTCTTAAAGATGGCCCCTGAATTCTGCTCAAGGACCACAGGAAAAATTGCTGTAAGTGGGGGTGGGGGTGGGGGCGGGGCGCGGCTGCGGCCTGCACTAGGGAAGGTGGGAGTGGCTGGAGGTGGGGGCGGGACAGGCAGAAAGGTCTCAATGCCCCAGGGCCTCTTCCCCCAACTCCATGGCCTCCTCTTCAATGCAGCCAGCGGCTTCTGGGTCTGCTCCCTCCTCGGTCCGGACACGCAGCAGATGCGGGGTCCTCGGGGCGCCACGCACCCTGCCAAAGTTCCGGAGACTTATGGCTGGGGAGGGCGCTCCTGCTCCCAGGAAGCGACTGAGCAGCGGCGTTTGTGCTGCGGGCGATGGCCGGGCCGACCCCGGGGATGCCTCCACCTGCAGGCTCTGTTCAGGGTCATCGCTCATACTGTGGACATGAAAGTGAACCAGGTGAAACTTGAGGCCAGACTAGGCCAAGGGCAGAGTCGAGGGCTTGGATATATTAGTGGCCCAGAGGGTGACCACGGACCTGGCACCAGCCTGCTGGGTCAAGCAAGTCCAGCCTTGGCCAGCAGCTGCCACTCACCGAAGATTGAAGGTGGAACCCAGGAAAGAAGGTCTCAGCGTCTCTGCCGCTGTGGCCACAGTATAGGGTGGCTGTGGCTGCTCCTCATCCCAGTATGGGTCCTTCTCCATAGGGGGCAGGTTTTGGTACATGTCATCCACGGATAGCAGGGACACCTGGACCAGAAGAAGGGTGGCAGCAGGTCACAAGGACCTTCCTCTCCTCTCCACATCCAGGCTGAGAGCTGACTAGGAGAGGAAGTCAAAGAACTGACCCCTGGATCTACTCTCACCTCACCTGCAAGTTTCGGTCTATGAGCTGGTTGGTCTCAAAATCATCATCATCTTCACCAAAGGGGTTGATGATCTGTTCAGCCACCTGTAGGATGCAGAGATAGTGTTTTTTGGAGTTAGAGCCCCCACTCTACCCCCAACATTGGAGTAGACCCAGGGCCCAGGTCTGGTATGACCATCTGTAGTGCCCACCTTGAGCCAGCCAGCATAGAAGAAGAACTGCAGCAGTGTGGTGAGAGGCACATACATGTCCAGGTCTCCCAGTGCTGGTGCTGGCTTCTGGCCTGGCTCCAGAGGCTCTTTGGCAGCCCCTGCCTCTGGCTCCACAAACTGGCGACCAACCAGGGAGAGGGCAAAGAAGGAGTATACAGCTATGGTCACCACCTGGAGAAGGGAAAGCCAGGCGGAGTATGGTGCAGTGGCACACAGAGAAATGCCATCCCTGGGCTGTGGCTGTGGCTCAGTGGTAGAGCCCCCGCCTCGCACGTGTGAGGTTCTGGGTTCGATCCTCAGCACCACATGTGCCCATCTACAACTAAAAGAATATTTAAAAAAAAAAAGAAGAAGAAGAAAAGAAATGCCATCCCTGCCCCTGCGAATCTGGGAGGAGTCTGATAAGTAATTAAACATGCAATGGGGTAGCAGCACCAGCAGGATAAGGTCATCTTGGTAGGTTGGAAGGAGGCTTTGAAGATGAGCTCTTGGCTGTTCAGAGCTTCACTGAACAGAATTGGCCCAGGCAAGGACCATCTCTTAATTTTCTTCAGTATCTCACACCCAGCACAGAACATGCAATAGGCACTGGGACTGGGGAGGTGAAAGGCAGTTACTTGGGTGTAGACGAGGGGGATGCTGATCCAGTCATAGTGAAACAGCATGCTGCACTTGGCACGGTATTTGTTCAGCTCCTGGTGGAAAAGCAGGAAGAGGAGGTCAGCAGAGGAGAAGGAGGAAGACTAGGAAGAGAATAGGGGAACCCAGAACAAAGCAGGCCTGAATAGGCCTGAGGCTGGACCTACTCTCGAGTGTTATTAGGCTGGGGTGCCTATGATGGGAAGCAATCTTTCAAAGTCCTGGAAACCACAGGCCCTGAAGCTAAAAGGTCTTAGAATGAATTCTACCTATGCTAACTAGCTGCGAGATTTGAGCTTTTCCACTTAGTTTCTGTTCCCTGATTTGTGAATGAGGCTAAATGAGCTATAGGTATCTGCTTCTAAAAGCATGTGGTACTTAGTTGGAGACATTTAAGTGATAAGTACCAAAATTAGAGGAGGGCCAAGGGACCTGGACCTAGGCTAACTCACTTCCAGAAGGAGACAGAAAGCAATGTCATCATGGATTCGCCCATCCCTGCGGGCCTGGGCTGCCAGGTTGGTGAACCAGACGCAAGGGATCCAATACTTGTTGAAGTCAGATTTCAGACTCTCAAACTTTTTCCTCTCTTCCTGGGACATGAAACCTGTGGAGATGAAGTGGGTGGGTGCAAGACACATTCTCGACCGCCAGAGGAGGCTACTATTCCACTATGTGGCTGCCCTCCCTTGTGTACCCAGCGATTTCAACTCTGCCAAATCAGGATCCTGAAGCACCTTCTGAAGATCAGATCTCGCCTTCTTGGGAAAGCCCTGACCTGAGAATTCCCCGAGCCTGACACCTGCAACCAGCCCGTGCGCCAGGCCCACACAGAGGTCCACAGACCACGCACCTGCGTCCACCACATGCTCCATAGTGGGGAAGCGCTTGAGCACGCGCGTGCTCACTGAGCGCAGCACCAGAACCGATGCCAGGTTGGCATAACGTATAAGAGTGCGGCGGAGCAGCCGGCCACGCTGGTCCACGCCATGCACACTGGCTGAAATGACGCACATCAGCTGGTCCGGCAGAGGAATGCTTGTGTACTGGGACCACCAGCGGTTCACCACAAGAGTCACGTAGAAACCTGGTGGGCCACCATGAGTAGTGGGGAAAAGAGGGAACATGGAGGGGCTGGGAGTCACAGAGCCCTCCCTCCCAAGCCAGAGGGCTCCCAGCAGGCTCTGAATCACAGCCTGGCTGGGGCAGGCAGGCTAGGACAGTGAGCACTGCCTCTTCCTCTGGTCCCACCACTGGGCTGGGCCAGGCCAGGCCAGGCCCGGAGAAAGAAGAAATGCAGACTTCCAAGGAATTGGGGAAGTGGGAGTTTAAGACCAGACTCCAAGACCTGCTACCCATGAGGGTGGGGAAAGGGCTGTCACCTCTCTCCAGCTCCCTTCCAGTACCAAGAGGGGAGTTGTGAGGCCACAGGTGTCTTGTGCCTGTGTGGAGTGAGGGTGCAGCAGGTGATAGGCAGGGCCTTGCTTTGGAGAAACCCTGGACCCAGCCCTCAGCACCTAGCTTGTACCTGCTCAGGCTGACTCTAAGCTGTGCTACTCAGAGCTGTCAGCTCAACCCAAAGATTAGGGAACACAGCCAGGGAAAACTAATGGGGCCTCACCCAGTACAAAGGACAAAGGGATGAGATCTGCAGAGCGGTTGCAGTATCGGGCCACCTGTGCATATACATGCCTCTGCTCCTGGGTCAGCAGCAACCTGGGATGGTCAAGTGTAGGCCTGGGATGGAGGGAGGTGGACAGACAGCCTCCACCCCCATAGGCCAGCCCTGAGACCCATCCTCACCTGTAGGCCATGCTGAGCATAGCATAGAGAGCGATGAAGAGTAGGAACTCCTTGTAGAGGAGCTTGTAGATGCTTCCCCTCCAGCGAAGGAGCAGGCTGGAGAAGCCACCAAAGCGCGCCTCTGCCACTTTGAGGGTGTATGAAACCGTCATGGTGCTGGGGCATGAGGCAGGAGGTCACAGAGCTGTCCCTCTCCTTAACTTGCATTTCCATCAATAAGCTTAGTACTGGAGGAAACTCCCCTCACCTCTGGTCATACACACCTAGGCCTTCAGCCTGTCAGTAGAACACCTAGGCCTTTAGCCAGAAAGCCACAGAACAGACAAAGCACAAAGCACAACCAACCCATGCTCTGCAGAACCTGTAGTACATAGGGGAAGCCAGAATGGGATAGAGCAAAGCAGGGCTGATCTCTGTGCCCCCTTGTGCATGAGGCTTTCCTAAGCTCCTTTTTTCTAGGTTCTGGAAATTGAACCCAGGGCTTAGAATGTGCTGGGCAAGTGCTCTACCTCTGAGTTACATCCCCAGCCCTTTTCCAAACTCTTCTTTTACCTGCAAAGCTTGGTAACTGGATTTTGGGCTTCTGAAGACAAAATCTCCAACTCCAACCCAGAACCACCACTTTTGCTATGAATTCTCATTATCTGGTCTCCCAAGGCCCAGGGCACTTCACCCCAACACATACCTGCCTACCTGCTCTGAGCAGCAGCCTATGTTGAGGAAGAATGGCTAGCTTTCACTCTGCCCAAACTTAAGTACCTGCTAGGTCCATAAAATTAGGCTGCACTGAGGCTATCATTGATGGATTGAAGCTGTCATCTAGCTTCCCCTAGTCCTGGGAACTGGGTAGATCTCCCTACCTCTGTAGGGCTGGGCTCGCCTTTGAGAAGCAGAAGTACCATTTGCACTGACCCCACAGCTCACAAAAATGACCCCATGCCCTTCATGCCGGGATGACAGGGATCACTGTCCCATGCTTCAGGTGAGAACACAGGAGCAGAATAAACTATTATCATAATACCAACTGCTAATCGTGGAGCACTGACTAAGGGACAGGTACTTAATACCAAGGGCACACTACCATGTCATCCTCTCATGGAACTCTCATCACAACCCTACAAACAAGATAGGAACCATCCCCATTTCACAGATGAGGCTCAGAGAGGTAAATGACTTGTCCATGTTCAACAGCAAGCTTATGTTGAAGATAGAATTCAAAGCTAGAACTGATGGACTTCAAAGACTAGAAGTAGCCTAACTGGGCCTAGACAAGGACTTAAACTTCAGAACTAGTGTCCTCTGCTAGGGTTCTGAGGGTCCTGGCCAGGACTTTCCCTATTTTGATGCCACAGGGCTGACAAGGTCACAGACCTAAGAACTCAGTCCAAGAATACAGACCTCCTTAAGTCCTGTATCCCACATCTTGACTCCTAGGGATATCCAGGGTCTTGACTGACCACTTCTAGAGCACAGCTATTGGTGCTTTGCAAGAGGTAAAGAGACCTATCCAGTTGGTAATTTTCCTATTTTCATATGATTTTTTTTTCAGTATTGGGAGTTGAACCCAGAGGTACTCTATCACTAAGCTCCATCCCCAACCCTTTTATTATTTTTCATTTTCATGTTGTACATGACAGTAGAAACCATTTTGACATATTTATACAAGCTTGGAATATCATTCTAATTAGGATCTCAATCTTGTGGATGTACACATGGTGAGATTCACTGTGTTATATTCATAGATGTACATAGGAAAGTCATATTAGATTCATTCCACTGTCTTTCCCATTCTCATCCCCCTCTCTTCCCTTCATTCTTCTTTGTCTAATCCACTGAACTTCTACATTTCCCCTCTTTTTATATTTTGAGACAGGGTGTTGCTAAATTGCCCAGGCAGGCTCAAACTTGCAATCCCCCTGTCTCAGACTCCTGAGTAGCTGGGATTACAGATGGGCACCACTGTGCCCAGCCAGCATTTGGATTTTTAAAAACCAAATTTATTGCCCCATGCATCCCTATAATCTCAGCTACTAGGGAGGCTAAGGCAGGATAGTAAGCTTGAGGCCAACCTGAGCAACTAACTTAGCAACACCCTCAAAACGAAAAGAAGTACTAGGGATGCAGCTCAGTGGTACAACATCTCTGAATTTAATCCCCAGTACCACAAAAATCAACATCATTATCATATCCATTATCATCACCTTATTGAAGGCAACTAAATGGGTGTTTATAGCATTTTAAATCACAGATTCCATCCATTCACTATACTTTTCTGAGTTGTTCCACACATTTTAAGTACATGTTGTCTTCTGAGCTGTTCTTCTAAGATGATGATGATGATGATGATGATGATGATGATGATATGATGGGTACTGGGCATTGAACCCAAGGGCACGTAACCACTAAGCCACATTCCCAGCCTTGTTTTATATTTTATTTATAGACAGGGTCTCAACTAAATTGCTTAGGGCCTTGCTAAACTGCTGAAGCTGGTCTTGAACTTGAAATCCTCCTACCTCAGCCTCCTGAGCCACTGGGATTACAGGTGTGTGTCACCACGCCCAGCTGTTAATTTACTATTTAAACATTATACTGCCAGGTGTGGTGATATATGCCCTAATCCTAGCTGTTCAGCAGGCTGAGGCAGGAAGATCACAAGTTTGAGGCCAGCCTTAGCAATTTAGTGAAAATTTTCTCAAAAAAAAAGGCTGGGGAGGGCTGGGGATATAAATCAGTTGGTAGAGTGCTTGCCTCACATGCACAAGGCCCTGGATTCAATCCTCAGCACCAGAAAAACAAACAAAAAGTGCTGAGGATAGAGCTCAGAAGTAGAGCACCCCTGGGTTCAATCCTTGGCACTGCAAAAACATAAAAACAAAAATAAAATAAAAATAAATAAAAGATCCAGGCCTTGAGCTACTTGCAGCTCAGACACCTCTGGTTTCTCAGTGTTACCTTTGCTTTCAATAAAACTAAATGAAAAAGATCCAGTTCTAAGAAGGCTCTGGAAAACCAGCCTTGCTCTTCTCCCAGATCACTTCTCAAAGCCCTCTAGGTTGCCCCCTTTTGCAGCAATCACGCTAGTTTAAGTCAACTTCCCTCCAGGGCCTACAGACAGGATTGGATCTGCTTCATCTCAGAAAAGCTAGGGAAGACGTGAAGCCCAACAGGATTCTTTTTCTTTTCTCCCTTTGTAGCAGTGGTCTGCTTCATGCTTTAAATAACGCACTGTGACTTTTTTTTTTTTAGTAGCAAGGATTGAACCCAGTGGTGCTAATCACTGAGTCACATTCCCAGCCCTTTTAATTTTTTGAGACAAGACCTTGCTAAATTGCTGAGGCTGACCTTGAACTTGCAATCCTCCTGTCTCAGCCTCCTGAATTGCTGGGATCACAGGCATGCATCACCAGGCCCAGGTGTGATTTATTTTTTAAATGGACATGTTTCTTTCTCTTTCCCTCCCCCTCACTAATCTAGGGGGCAACAGGATTACCTCTCTTCCCCATTCTAGGCAGAGTTATTGGTCCTTGGCATACACCCATCACAAGAATGAAGTAATTCTAACTTCAAGATGGCACCAGAAGGGCTGGGGCTGTAGCTCAGTGGCAGAGTGCTTGTCTAGCACATGTGAGGTGCTGGGTTCAATCCTTAGCACCACATAAAAATAAACAAAGGCATTCTGTTCATCTACAAATACAAAAAAAATTTTTTTTAAAAGATCTAAAAAATTGACTATCTCCTAAATTAACAAGTGAATTACAAGTCTGGACAGAGAATACCTGGAATATAACCTTTGAATCACCTTTTTAAAAACTCCCTATTCACAGGCAGTGACACTGATCTGTAATTCCAGTGACTGGGGAGGCTGAGACAGGAGGATCACAAGTTAAAAGCCAGCCTCAGCAACAGTGAAACCCTGTCTCAAAAATAAAAAGGGCTGGGGATGTAGCTCAGTGGTTAAGCACCCCTAGGTTCAATCCCTCGTACCAAAATAAATAAATAATAAAAAAATAAAACCTCCCTTTACCCCCTAATGGGCAGAATCATATCCTCTGGAAGAGGAATCCCCTGTGCTTTTCCTTTGCTAGCAAAGCAGTAAAACTGCTTCCTTTTTCTCAAAATCATGTCCTATTTATTGGATTGGCATCAGGGACAAAGACGGAGCTTTTGATAACATCTTCCTCCTTCTCCATTTTAACATGAAAGTCAACTTGTTTCACCATTCCCACCCTCCCCTGCCGTGTGTGTGTGTGTGTGTGTGTGTGTGTGTGTGTGTGTGTGTGAACCTAGGGCCTTATGCAATCAACTAACAGAGCTAATTCCCAGCCCTTCCCTTTTTTTGGTGAGATTTCTCAGGTGAGCCAAGGTCTGAAAACCTGCTCATAGCCTGACTGGAGTTGTGCCCTCCCTCCAGGTGCTAGGTGAGAAGTCACTGAGTAAAAAACAGTTCCAGATGAAAGACCAGGATCTCATCCATCACGGCCACGGACCCCATTCCCAAGCTCTGATCTGTGGCTTCCCCATAGGCTAGGGATATAGGGATAGACCTCAGTTGTAGAGTGCTTGCCTAGCATGTGCGAGGCTGTGGGTTGATCTCCAGCATAAAAAAAAAAGGAAGGAAGGAAGGGAAAAGAAAAGAAAGAGAGAGAAGTCACGTAAGAAAGCAAGCATTCTGGACTGCTTACCACTCAAAGAAGTTCTAATACTTGGGAAGCCAAGTATTGGGTCTCCCTGACAGCTTTCCCCAAGACAACACCTGCCCCCATCCTTGGCCCTCACACTTCTGCACTCTGGTCTGTGAATTTCCCACAGAACTAGGATGAAGGTGCATGACCTGAAGCCTCTGCCCCAGGAAGGGGCTGTCTCCAGACCTACCCTGCCCCTCCCTCCTGAGTCACTTATCTCCCTTCCCACTGCCCAGGTCCCCTTCCTCTGGTTTATGGTCCAGGAGAGAGAACCATTTAACCTGTAAATCACTTTGCCCCACCCTGCTTGTCTTCCTTCAGTCTGTCTCCCTCCCTACTTTTCCTGCCCTCCAGAGCACTCCCTTCCTCACAGCTGAGTTGGATGTATGCCATAGCACAGAACATCACAGTGTCTGCAGCCAGGTTTCACCATAGTCACCAAGGTTACCAAGCATCATGACATTGAG